AGAAGATGTACATAATTACAGTACATAATGTTTCAGTGAACATAGTCCTGTAAGATTATAATGCAGCTGAAAAATTCCTGTCTCCTAGTGACAGTGTAGCCATCCTAGCCATCATAACGTCATAGTGCAGTGCATTACACACGTTTCTGATGATGCCACTACAACTACACTGCCTAGTCATATAAAAGTATAGTACATTCAATTATGTGTCGTACATACTTGATAATGATAATAAACAGCTATGTTACTGATTTATGTATTTACTATACTGTACTTTATCATTATTTTAGAGTGTACTCTGTCTACTTATTTTTTTTAAAAAAAGCTTACTGTAAAACAGTCTGCTGTGTTACACGAGCAGCAGCCTCAAACATCTTGGATTTACTGCATCTCTTGATACTGCATCATTCTCTTGTGCTTGATTTAATCTTGGGTTGTTTGTTCATCATGGTCCTTAAGCATACAAGAAGACAGTGATTGACCTAGAAAGAAAATTAAACGTAATTAAGGACTAGGAAGGTGGAAAATCAGTGATGGTTATTGCTCACCAGTCAGGCATGTCCCATTTCACCACTTACAGTCTTGAAGAACAAAGACAGAATGACAGAGGCTCTTAAAGGATCTGCTCTTCATTGAAGGCAATGAGACTAACAGAAATTCGAGAAGGGCTTGTATATGAGATATAGAGAAACTTCTAATGGCCTGGATTGAAAACCAGGCACAGAAGCTTATCCCTCTTAGAATCATGACAATCACAGCCACAGCAAAAATTTGTTTGCCTTATAGAAAGAAAAGATCTAGGCCCAACTACACTGTTAAGTTTACTGGCAGCTCTACATGGTTTAAACTATTGAATCAATATATGATAGGAAAGTGATGATGAGTCTGAGTGCTGATGTGAAGGCAGCTGAAGAATTTTTGTAAACTCTGAATAAGTTGAATGTGGAGGAAGATTGCTTGTCAGAACAAATCTTTGATATGGATGAAACCTCCCTATTGTGGAAATGGACTCTTAAAAGGGTGTTCATCTATAAGGAGGCCAAGTCAACGCCAAATTTCAAGTCTTTTAAGGACAGGGTAACAGTCTTGCTTGGGGGAAGTGTGGCAGGCTACAAATTGAAACTCTTCATGATCTGGCCCAGGGAGAACCCAGAGCCGTCAAGAACATCAATAAGCACACACTGCCAGTGAACTCCAGGAGCACTAAGAAGTCATGGATGACCCAGCTCCCCTTCCAAGATGCTGTCCTGAATTGCTATGCCAGAGAAATGGAGAAGTACTGTTTAGAGAATAATATACATTTCAAGATTTTGTTTATTATTTTGTTTTGTCTTTAAGTAATAGTTGCTATCTTAATGCTGGTAATTAGCATTGTAGTTGGCATGCTAGAAATTATATCATTGGTTATGATTTAAACTTATAATGCAAACAAAATTTATGATGTTGAGTATGTAGTTTCAAAAATTCTTTTAGGGAGTATGCAACTAACAATTTTTTAGGATACTTCTATAGTACATACTGTTATAGGAACTGAGAGGTGGGAATAATTGATTCTAGGTGAAGGAGTACTATGCTCCCGCCCATCCTCCTTTTATTAGTGATCTTCTTCCCAATATTAAAGTGATGTTTCCCCCTCCAAATACCAACTCTGATCCAACTGTGGATCAAGGAGTTATAGAAGCTTTTAAAGCCTTCTACCTAAGGAGGACCTTTGCCCAGGCTGTTACTGCAAATTAGGGAGACACTGAGAAGACACTGACACAATTACGGAAGGATTACAACATCTATGACTGCATCAAGAATCTTACTTGGACTTGGGGTGATGTCACCAAAGAGTTTATGAATGGCATCTGGAAGAAGGCACTCAAGAGGTCCATTGATGACTTCAAAGGATTTGCCAAGGATGAGAAGGTTGCGGTTGCAAAAATCATCAAAGCTGTGGTTGAAATGGCAAACAACTTTAACCTCGGTGTGGATGAGGATGACACTGAGGGCTCTTAGAGGTGGTATCTGAGGAATTGACTAATGAGAAGTTGTTGGAACTGGAAGAAAAATGCATAGCTGAAGAATAGGTAAGAGAATATGGTAAAACTGCAGTAGAAAAAAACCCCAAGAAAATTCACAGTGAAGGATTTAGCAGAAGCTTTTGTAGACCTCAACAAGCTCCTTAAAAGGTTTGAAAACATGGACCCCAACAACAAAAAGTTTTTCACTGACAGAGAGGAATGGTCAAGGTGCATTATTTGCTTACAAGCAAATCTATAAAAAAAAAGAAAAAGAAACAAACCCAGCAAACTACCACAGACATATTTCTGAAAAGA